AAAATCACCAGCACCACAAAAGCCATGCCATCAAGTTCTCTCATTAAGATAGCCCATAAAAAAAACTACAGTCAAAATATCAGATATGGAACCAGACCTATATGACATAATACTTGTAAGCTGTAAAAGGTTGGATATTCTAGAATTTGAGAGCTAGAAATAAAGTTTATTTTTGTAACCATGATAGATTTTTTTAAAGCTTGATCACCAGCACCACAAAAGCCATGCCATCAAGTTCTCTCATTAAGATAGCCCATAAAAAAAACTACAGTCAAAATATCAGATATGGAACCAGACCTATATGACATAATACTTGTAAGCTGTAAAAGGTTGGATATTCTAGAATTTGAGAGCTAGAAATAAAGTTTATTTTTGTAACCATGATAGATTTTTTTAAAGCTTGCTCACCACCACAAGACTTTGATGTCTGTATCACATATTTTTGCTACTACTATGCTTACTTACCTCCCCAACTAGCATCTCATAGATCAGTACACCAAGACCCCACCAGTCCACAGCTCTTGTGTAAGATGTTTCTGTCAACACTTCTGGTGCAAGAAATTCTGGAGTGCCACAGAATGTGCTTGTTCTATCTCCAAATCCCATTCCTGAAAAAAAATATGATTTTTCATAAGAAACAAGGTATATTCTTATTTTACAAATCTTTTCCCCCCATTTGCCAGCCGTGCACCATCTTGGCCCTGAGTAGCAAGCTGGATTCTCTTTTTTTGCACATGACTACCAGTAATAATGATTCCGCAACTCAAAGTAGACCCTTGGCTATTCCTTGGTCATCACATTGAAAACATTGTGCTTGGAGACATGCAACAAAGTGGAACTCAGTAAACATTCTGTTAGCACATAAGAAATGGAACACGTTTGTCACTCTCAGAACTGCAACCAGAGCAGGTAAAAAGTAGAAAAGTAACACTTATTTTACACAATCATTTTTCAGAGCAGAACTACATTTTAAATTATTAGAATTTCTTCTACCAGATTCTAGCATATGACCTCAAAGTCAAAGAAAACCTTACACAGGATTTAACTGAAAGTACAGTAATTCCTCATTTAATACTATAGATACGTTTCAGAAAATGATCGTGTTAAGTGAAAACGTGTTATGCGGGGTCAATTTTCCCATTGAAAGTAATGGAAAAGATGGGGGTTGTGTTTCAAGTGGTGGTGTCTGTTGGGACCGGGACATAAGGTTGGGGGAGAAAGGGGACTGGGTTACAGCAGGGAGGAGAGGTGTTTGGCTCTGGGGGAGGAGAGGGGAGGAAATTTGGGTTGGGAGTATGCCCCTGTGACGGGTCTGCCAGGACCCACACTGTGTCCGGCGAGGAGGGGGGGAGGGATGGGTTGCCAGGGAATGGTGCAGCAAGCGGCGAACCCTCCACTGCTTTGCAGGGAGGTGGGGGAAGCCCCGCGCAGCTGCTGGCGATGGGCTGGCTGGGGAAACCTAGCCACTGGACTGCAAGCGGGGCTGGAGGAGAAGGAGCAAGGCGTCCAGTGAGGAGGAGTCAGCAGGGAAAGGCGTGGAGAGCAGTGAACCCTCCGCTGCTTTGCAGGGAGGTAGGGGAAGCGCCGTGCAGCCACCAGCAATGGGCTGGCTGGGGAAATCGTGTTATTCCAGGGACAGTCATGTCATTCAAAAAACGTTCCCAAAAAAAATCGTGCTATTGCGAAAACATGTTAAGAGGGGCACGTGTTAAATGAGGAATTACTGTGTACACACTATATAAAAAAGGTGACATAATAAATCTCAATTAAAGCTGCCATGATTATTATTATTGGTATTACCACCGTTACTAAGAGCCCTAGTTAGAGACTGGGCCCCCACTGTGATAGGGACTATATGTTGCACCAGTGCTGACTAACAGTATTACTGTAGACATCACAGTGTATACATGTGAATCATAATATGCTCAAGAGTATCCAAGTGGTTGGGATTGTGAAAAAATCTGGGGAAAACATTCTAGCCCTTTAGGAACAGAATAGGGCTGACAGCTTGCATCTACTGCTGCTCTTCTTAGGGAAAATTAAGGTGCTGCTCATCTACAGTCATTATAACACAGAAAGAAGAGGGGGAACCCTCACAGCAGCCACCTGGGTGATCTCCAACTTTAGGGTCCTTTGTTTCCACTGTTCTCCAGCCAAGACAATCCCAGAGATATTTTCCTATGCTGACAGAGTAAATGTGCTAGGTGCTTGTATTTCTAGGACTGCTTAACTGATAGCCAAGTATAATCCCACTAAAAAAAAAATTGAGAAAAAAAAAGAGCAGTTACCTTCTTTGCAAAGACCAAAGTCAGCTATTTTCACAAATCCGTCTGTATCCAGCAATAAATTATCCAACTTCAGATCTCTAAAAAGCAATATTTGAAAGTAAAACGGAATTACAGATATGGCTACAGGGGTACTCATTAATTCACTCGAAGGTAAACAAGTTATTTAAAAATAAAAAAGCAGTGCAATGTTCCTCTTAAAATACATTTATCCCTTTTATGAATTAAGACTTCGATCAATAACTGATAGTTTATACTCATAAGTATGTGAGAAAAGTATGCGAGAACAAACTTTTTAGTAGGATAGAAAAAATACAATAAATAAAAAGATAATGCTTTGGGTAAGCAAATCAGGGTAGAGTTGAAGAAAACAGAGAAACGGTTAAAATTCCAGTCTTGAGAAAGTGATTACTCACCTATAGACTATTTTGTGCTCATGTAAATATTGGAGTCCAAGAACCACACAAGCAGCATAAAATCTGATTGAAAAATTAAATAAAGCTTGAATTTCGGTGCATTTCCATCTTGCTTAATTAATCTGTGTTTCTATTTATCATCTTATGAAGAGTGCAGATAGTCTGCAGAAAGAAACTTCTCTTCAAAGGATTTTTTTTAATATGTGGTACACATGGAATTTTATAAAATCATAAGTCAAAGCTTTAAAATTAACCTGGTAGAAGTTCCAACAAAAGTGGCCCTGACCTATAACATTTTGTCTGCCAATATTTTCATTTTCCTTAGCACTCGTTGCCATAATTTTCAAACACTTGCCACTGAAGCTGGTACTTTTATCTTATTTCATGTAACATTTTGAACCGACTACTAATTCTTCAAAACAGCATCTAAAAATATTTCATATTTGCATCATGACTGCCTACAAACTATTCTGACCATTCTAAACAAAATGGCACATCATTAATTAGAACATTTTATTTATTTATATATTCTAACAAAATTGGATTGAATGCATTTTTAATGAGACTTTAACATTCACTCCATTTAAGTTTACTGGAGTACTAAATAAAGCGGTCTAATACACAAGCATGCAAAGACAAGCAAACTTGAACACAGTTTTTTCAGCCCACTCAAAAAGAACAATTCATATCAAAACCTTTAAATATTTAATGGCATTAAAACTATGCACACTTACACTGCTCTTGGTTCAGAAAAGACATCAGTATGAATATGCATCATCAGGTCTCCACCAGCAGCATATTCCATTACAAAGCAAACATGATCTTTGGTTTGGAAACAAGCAAAAAGGTTCACCAAGAAGGGATGCCGTACACTATTCACAGTTTCAAAAATTCGCTTTTCACACATAAGGCTGCCAAAAGAAAATATTTTAGCAACAAAACTTAATATTGAATGCTGTATTACAAATTTCAACATCCCGTATAGTACAATTAGTTGAGACCTCCCTCTATACCCCCCAAAAAACTTGAATCTTTTGTTGATGGTATTTGATACTCTCTAAAGAGTAAAAATCCAGCATTGAACTTTGAAATTTTTACTGTACAACTTTACTGACTTTGAAGAGAGTCATATGACTAATGTCTCAAGAAACGCTAATACAGTAAAACTTCGATGGTCCGGCATTTGATGGTCTGGCACTCCTGATGATCCAGCACCATCAGGAACCTGGAGTGCTCCGGGCAGCCGGTCCATTTGGAGCTGCTCCGCCTCCAGCCTTGCCCCCTTAGCTCCCGC